CTGCGTGAAAATACTCAACCTGTGGTGAGTCCCTCTGCTAGTCCACTTCAGACTCATGGGACAGGGAGCAGACCAGCCTAGGCTGGGCCCAGTGAAGTTGGTTAAAAATTTGAACTAGACTCACTGGTATAGTAGTGCTATATACCCCCAAGAACACCATTTGCCATGTGCACTATCAAGCCCCCCCCCCCAGTGCCACTCAGTGTTAAATAGCAAATGAGTAATTAATACATTAAACCATGCTGCAGTGAGCAGGCAGACTAACTTAAAACTTGAACAGATGTTACAGCAGGGCAGAAAGAATAAACAAGAAGTGCTCAGTCGTCTTTTTTTTTGTGGGCCTTGTAATATTTGTCAGTAGTTAGATTTCGCTCCTTTTTGGCACATTAGAGGTCTATAATCTCTTGTTGCATGTTGCACTATTATTTGTTATTGATGATTAAATGTAAGAGTACCCAGTCACTGTCCTGTGTCTTGATCCACAGCTTTTTTTCGTCTTTGTGTGTTTCTGTTGACTGTTCAGGCTCACCGTGTCTTGTGCTTTTTGTGTGCACTGCACTTTTTTACTTTTGCATAGGAGAAATATTGCCTTCAGAGTCACTGCAGCAGTTTGTAGTCTAGTCCCCCTCTGCCATTTTTCAGTTTTTAAAAATGGTGGGAGGTGACCAAGCATACAAACACTTGGTGCATCCATCTTGTTCTTGATGCTAATGTTACTAATTATACCTTCTGGTAGCTGCAGTTCTTATTATGATGATCCCAAAAAAACTTGTTTCTGTCCAGATTTGGAAGACTCTAAACAAGCTTGTGATGTTTAACAAACTAATTGAAGCAGTACACTCCTGTTTGTTCTTTCTTTTGCTTCATCTGAAGCTTGTCTTATTTATATATTGATTCAGTGTGTGTCTCTGTCTGCAGGTGCTGTTGTTTCTTCAAGCGAAAACGGAAGAAGAACACGCAGAGGCACAAATGATTTATTCTCCCACCGGCTTGAAACGTTCCAAGTGTCTGGCTCAGTTGATTGTGATTTCAGAAATCAATAAGGCCCCATTCAGAATAAAAGAGGGAGATGACCGAAAGAGCTTGATTGAATTGTCCTCTGGAGGGGCCAGTTGAGATGTACAAGACATGTCTTTCTTTTTTCTTTTATTTTTCCTCTCCAAGATGTGTGGGAATGTTTTGCAGGCCAGTCCGCCAAATGGGGAACCGTTCTGTTGGAATTTTGCAGAGGATACACCCCCCTCCCCCCATCAGATACCCGCAGTTTTCTCTTTTTGTTTTTGCCATATTTTTTTACTCCGGTTTCTCTTGTGAAAGAAGAGATGGATCTTCTGTGGAGCCTTGTCGCATTGGACCTGTTGTGATTTCTTTGTTTGATTCACAAAATCATATTTCCCCATCTTGTCAAGTCCCAGTGGTTTGCCCCTCATTAGTTTACCAACTCGTTTTTGACACAACAGCCCTCTTGGTCATTCTTGACACGGGTCTGAATGTAAACCTAAACACACAAAGAGCCAAGAGTATAACTGCCTTTATTCACTTACAGGCACAGAGAGCATCAGTCTGCCGTTTGGCCCATGCACCCCCTCAAAAAAAAAAAAAAAAATTAAAAAAAAATAGAGGTTGACCCTGGCACTGGGACCTGGGCCTCAGAGACCAGAAGACCAGAGACACCTGCTGCACTGTGTTCTCTGAGGATGATTTCTGCTCATGCTGCTCGGTGAAATCAGTCTTCATAACCACGCTGTTATCGAAACACACTACAGTCTCTTGACTCTCATGCAGTTCTTCTCCTTTTGGCTTTGTGAGAATGATTGGCAACCTGATACTTGTAAATGGGCTGAAAAAACAAGATACTATTTATGCTATTTATCTCTCGGTTGCCACCTGTTTTCTTACTAATTCTAAAACATACACTGAATGTATGGACAGAAAAGTACACTTGTCATGTGCATGGGAAGGAAATTGCAGTTAAAGCTAATGTTTAAAAAAGGTGAGACCAAAACGAGGTGGATTGGGGGAGGGGGGTTATTTAAAGTTCTTGATCTTAATAATGGACTTTGTACCAGTGGACACTAGGGGATGTTGCTTTGGAGCAACAAGAGAAACCAGTGCGATGTGCTCTGGAGATTAAATCACAGCCTCTCAATGTTACTATCCAATGCCTTAACCCCAACCCTTTGACCACCACACCACCAGTTGGATGAACAAGTTGGCAGCAGCAGTAGCTCAAAGTTTCGAGCTGTTTCCAGCTCGTGTCAGAGCAGTTAATGACTTGGCTTTCTAACACTGGAGATGTGTTCCCAAGAGAGCAATGCCAGATAGAATGTTTGGCATAATAATCTGGAATGGTGTTAAGACTTGCCTGCCCCTGCCTGTCCAGTGTGGAGACCCCTGTGCTGCAAAGCGATGTTTAATGTTTTGGGTCCCTGTCCGTGACGCTGCAAGAGAAAACCTAACGCCAGTGTGAGTGAGTGAGTGCAGATAAGTGAACGCGTCCATACCATTTTTATATTTTTGGTGTCCTGGAGGACTGCCTTGAAACAACATCCTCAATATGTCACCTCGCTTATTCTCCTAACAGAGAGTGAATTACCATGCATAGGTGTTTTATTTTTTTATTTAATGTCTTGCTAATGTGAATTTCTTTAATGCAGTTTCAGTTTTTTTTCATTCCAAATAGCCATGGTTTTGCAGGGAAAGA